CCGCCGATGTCGGTGCCGCGGCCGACGCTCACGCCGGCGGCGCCCAACCCTCATGGGTAACATGGTGTGTCTCACGTACGCCACCATCTTGTTCTCTACCAACTCACCAGCTCTTGCTAGACATTAAAGCCAACTTAAAATATAATAATCCGCCGTAATTTTTAAAGGATAACATATTTTAGATGACACGTGACAAGAATAATTTACTAAATAAATGTTTAACTTGACTGTCCATTTTAAGTGGGAAAAAAATCATTTCTACATGTGTCCTTCGGTATAAATTCTATATAGCATGAAAACATTTTTTACTTTCCTTTGATAGGTTCCATTAACATTGGGGGGAAAATGTTGGGTTGCCTAAAATTCAGCAACGCATAATTTATCATTATTAGACAATCATCATACTGAAGTTGGCTTTATTGGCGAGAATAAGAGCAATAATGATTAATATTCTACAACGCGATTAGATAAATCAACATTTAGCAGTATTGCGATACTTACGTTTTTAAGCATTTGTTTTTTAATCAATAGAAGTGTAAATCAAATAGTATTTCAAGATGTATTTGGTATTAAGAGAACAAGAGAGTGGCAACTAACCCTCATACTAATGCGTTCCGCATGACTACTAAGTTTTTTCATGTAACAATCTTCACTCACTTGCATGCACAAGATATACTGCAACTGAACGAAATTTACATATAATCTATTATTAAGTTACTTTATTAATAATTGATAAACAAAGGACACGCCTGATTATAATACTTAACGTTAGGCGTTAATGGTGTGCTTATGTACCTACTATTTTTATGAAACTTAACTATTTACCTGCTATTTAAAACTTAATTGTATCTCAATTCTTTTATAACTAAGAAACTTAGTAACAATGTAAAACATTGAAAAACAGCTATCTACCACAATACCTCTGCCCTATGTGTATTCCAGTTATACTAATTACATGTCCCTTATGAGTGCTATATTAACAGCTACACCTCTGCTTGAACACCTAAAGTTATAAAAAATGTTTTCCTTTTGTCAGCAGCACATCATAAAAAGTGCAGCGCGCGCTGCGCCCGTGGTGGGCACCGTGTCACCCCTCCTGACTTGGGGCAGAACCCTAAACACTGACTTGCCAACGGTCGACAACGACCGCTACGCATATGTTATATATGCCTAAAGGACAAGGAATGAAAACATTCGGACAAGATGAAATATCCACACATGTATCTATGGAACTTCAAGTGGCTACTTTGTAGAAGTTTGTGACATCATTAACATGAGAATGTCACGGATGAAGTGATGAGAATCAGTTATCGTCCAAGCGTTTTATATTTAAGTGTGCATTTATGTTGACGTATCTGTTTGCGAGTATATTTGTTTGAATTTAGCTTATGAAAATCTCATGTATAGCTAATGATATTCTGGAAATGCTTTTAAATTATGTATGCCTGTCTTTAGAATTTTAAACCTGTTGTGAAACATGTGTCATGATACTGCAGCTAGTCAGTGAGCTAAAAACACCAGTAAAATAATATCGATTTAATTTAATACAGAAACTATGGTCATAATGCAATATATTTAGATTTTATCACGATCAGTTTTAAAAGTGTACCTAGATTCACGAGTTTCCAGCGCTGAAAACGCGTACAAAAATGTAGTGGACAATTTTTTAAGGACAGTGATTTTGTACAAATTGGACGTTCCGGAAAACTGTCTAAAGGCCACTTTGGCCATATCAATATTTTGATACACCCTGTAAAATGTATTGAATTCTAATAACCCAAGCTTAGAGAATTCTTACCTATTTTTATAAAAGAATTTGCATAGTCTTGTACCATAATTCACTTATATATATTTATTTATTTATCTGATAGGTCTTTTAACACATAGTCTACAATTATGTTTGTCATAATACATTCTCTATAATGAATTACAACTCAGCATCGAGAAAACTTTAGATTATAACATTTTTTTATCTCACAAACATCACTATAGTATGTTTAGTACAAATTGACTTGTTTTAAAAATTAAAGAGATTATAGGAAATAATTTGGTACAATCAGACAAAGCATAACTTATAATAAGTTAGCTATTAACTATATTTCATTTTAACAACGGCTAAATTAGAGGAACTTCAAATTCTACATATGTCGGAATATTTTATTATTAATTTTGTGATAGTTTTACGATAAAATGAAGTTATCTAGTATAATGTTTGTAGTTGCTGTTTGTAGTTATGTGAAACAGAGTGTTATGCCAAAAAAAAATCTGAATTTATGATTTTTAGTAATGTGTTTGTCTATGGTGGATAAATGTTGTTGCATTGAAATGAAATATAGTTAAATTTTATCTGTAGGTAAATGTAAGTTATGGCCTACATGTAACGCTTTATTACACCATAATAGTAAGCTGTGTTTAAGTTATAATTTTTGTGTTAATGTAACATCTACCATATAAGATTAAAAGATCTCTTAAGCATCTGTGATAAATCCAATTGATTAAATAAAACATTAACTTATAAACTATTTTAGTTATTACTAAATACCACAATTAGAATAAAGTATTTCCTTGCCATGTTAGAAACTTTCTTATTAAGTTAAAGTAGGAAAAAGTGACTGAATTAATGGATGCTGTATTAAATCTTTCATTTCTTTCTCTTTTTAGTTTTATTTACCTACCAATGTGTTACCAGTGTAATGTAATGTAGTAAAATGTACCATGAAATTGTCTAAAAGAAGTTAGCAAAGAAAATCATATGGCTTTCCTCTACCAAAACACATTACTTTTTTCTTAAAACATCCCAAGTCTTATTGGTTTTTAGGATTGCAAAAGTTGATACTTATGTAGCTGAAAATTTTATAATATAAAGATTTCGGTACGACATTTTCCTATTAAATTGATAGGCATTTTAATATATGTACTTTAAAAAACCGTAAATAGTGTTAAAATAATTTATTTACATAATTACAAATAAGTACACAAATAACATCATTTCAACTTAAAATAAATTAACATTCCTTGCATGATTTAACTTCACTTTTTACACTTTCTGGTTTGGATGATTTTAAAAAATATTTGTTGTATATAAAATATTTTACTAATAAAATGCTTAAAAACACTAAGACTAGTCATAGTGGGCCTTTTTCATCACCTTTATTATCAGAATGATTGCTCGAGTCATCATTTCCTACTTGAGATGATTTATCTCTCACTGGGATTAACTGAAATCTCAAACTGTTTCCTTTGTTCCTTTTTTGAATCACTTTTCCAGATGATTTTGTGCTCTTTTCTATCACAGAACATATTTTATCCTGAAACAAAGATTTATAAGAATTAAAAAAAAGACACGCTATGTATTACTTCTTACAAGCCCAATAAAATTATGTCTATCCCATAATCAATTCAATAAAGCTTCAATTAAACTTGAACAACTTTATTTCAAAATAAAAATATGCATAATTTTATATTTACTAACGTGTGTATGTATATATATTTTTTTTTCTTTTTTGTGTATGTTTTCAACTGTGTAATTAATTATATAGTGTTTGCTTTATGAATGGATTAAATGATTATTATTATTATTATTATTATTATTACATATGAAATATGAAATTTTTTATTGAAATCTTTGTGTTTTTAAAACTAATAACTAGTATTACTTTAAAACCAGTTTATTAAATTATAATTTCAATACAAAAGTATTCACAAATAATTATCAACATTATATGGAAGTATCATTGCATACCAGACTTTCCGCAGCCTCACTATCTGACCCAGTCACAACAACCTTTACTTCAAACTGCTTGTCTAATAGTTTTATCATTTTCTTCACACTTGTCATGAGGTCATTTTCAGCTATTCTATTTGATAATGTTATCAATTTTTGTCCTTTTATAAGTTGATTTTCTTTAGAAATTTTCTTTTCTTTTCTTTTTACAATTTCCTCTTCGAGATATTGAGCACTTGTTAGTAGCCTGTAATTAGAGTAAAATTGGATTAACAAAATAAGTCATTAACAATTTAGAAATAGGATGTATTTCAATTATATTATATACATACTTATAAACTGGACGTCTAGTTTTTGTGTCAATATCTTGTATTTTAACTAGTTTTAAATCTCGTCTTACAGACAAACTCTGTGCGCTCTTTAGATCTGTAATACTAACGGAGTTATCATGTCCGATTAAAGTTATCCTACTCTCAAAATTCTTCTTTTTTGGTATATCTTTTCCTTCGGCTGTTATTTTCATGGATAAAAATCTATTGTACTCCACTATACGTCGGAAATTGGTTAATGCGAAAATTTTATTCATTTTGTAAAAATGTCTTTAACCATTAATTGAACGAACACCGATTAATACATAAAGTTTAAAGATAATTCTACAAGAAACACCAACTAGATTTTTAAATACATATTGAATAATATATTGGAGCACGATTATGTATTGATTTGACATATAAACATTATTGACATGATTGTCAAAGTCAAATCCAAATCAATTTGATTGTTTGACTGTCACTCGACAACTTGACATTGACAATATCAACAAACATTCATCGTCAACAGAACAAAGAGTAGATGTTTATGTAAATCGTTTGAGAGAGTTTGAGAGAAAGCAAATTTTGTTTGAGAGTTCTTCCTTTCAACGTAAAAACAAATTCAAATTTTTAGCGTAAAGTTGGCTTCCACAAAACATTTAGTTTAGCTAATGAGAATCGCTAGATAACCATCTGAGAGAGATTGAAATGAGGAGAGGATTAGACTTAAACGCTTAGACCATTCAAATTCTCGTCTTCAGATAATCGTTAGAGAATGATTGAGAGAAAAGATAAATCTTTCGACATTTTTTACTTTTTTTGTAAAAAATAATTGAAATCGAACACTTAACTATAAATCCTTATGCTAATTTTTGAGAACAATGCCTCCTGAACATTTATGTTTTTGTTAAACGTATTGAATATTTTTAAGGTGTTGTATAGTATTTGTCTATGTCTCGAGAAATTGACGGAGCTTATCTACTCTTTGAAACGTCACGACCATAGCTAATATCAGTTTCACTTTTCTTTTTGTTTTGACACTCAGAGACGGAGCAATGGTAAATTTTTTATTTAACTAAATCTTTAAATATATCATGAATCTTTTACAATTTTTAAATATAAATCTAAAATATTGAAATTGTTTGTTTTCAGTCCGCTCACAAAACATTTATTATTAAGCGCAAGCTTGCTAAAAAACTCAAACAGAATAGACCAATTCCACAATGGGTTAGAATGCGCACGGGAAACACAATCCGGTAAGTAACTATTTAATAACTGTGTTGGAAAAATGTAATTTACGTTTTTAGATCTAATACAATCGAAAATATTTGAGTTCCATTTTTACTTTTACAATAAATCCAAATGTCAATAATTGTTTTGAAACATTGTTGAATATAGTTCTGTAAGTTAAAGTAGTTTTAATTGTACTTGGATAATTCTGTGGTTACAACGCTGATCTGAGTGAAAGATTTAAAACGGCTATATTACATTTATATTGTTATAAATAAACTAGTTTTGTACGAAAACTTCAGTGTCGTAAGTTGTTGCCAGTCCCATAACAATCAATCTTTAATAATATTTATTTAAAACATTAAAGAATATTTTGTGAACATATTAATTATTAATTTGGTGTTTTGATATCCTGCAGTGTAAACATAATGTACCTTGTGACAATGTTTTCAATTAACATATTCACTGTAATGCATGGAAGTATATGCTTATGGTTCTAAATTATATCACAGAATTTCAACATCAGAATTAAATATTTTTATGTAAACTAAAAATGTGTGATAAAGATAAAATTGTGGCAAGGTTATAAGAAATGTATTTTTCTATGAAGCTTTTTTTGTTGCAAATTTTGAAATACAATAATTTTGTTTCATAATTTTTGATTTACAATGAAATGTTGGCACTTTAGAGATTACAACTAAGCTTAAGAGTTTAAAATTGATAACTTCTAACAAAATGTTCAAGTTGTACTATTTTAATTTAGAAAGGCCTAATTTATTGTTATTGATCTTGGAGGCTGTTTTTTCAATGCCTACTATTTTAATGTAAAATATTTTAGCAATGTATAACATAGAAGGCGCAATGTACAATAAATATTTAAATTTTTATTTGTATAATTTCAGGTACAACGCCAAGAGGCGTCACTGGAGAAGGACTAAGCTCAAGCTGTAAGCTGTTATTCTCTACATGTTAAGCTTAATAAAGTCCTAAAAATCTCCAACATTCCTTTTATTTTAAATGATATCTTACACTAGTAAATACTCAATTAAATTTAAAGTTAAGTAAATGCAAAAGTTTAGATGGATGGATATTTGTAGCCTAAATTGCTCTCTTTGAAATTTGGCATAGATGCAGAGAGTTGTCTGGAAAAACACATAGACTAGTTTTGTTTTTAATTCCATGTGGGCGAAAACTATTACCTAAATATTTTTTAAGTTTATTGTTTTTCTTGAAAAGTAGCAATTCTATTGTAAAGATTTAGATGGGCCTTTTACAAAATGGTCATGGTAAATACCTTTTAGTCATGGTGAAGTTAATGTTTAGCACTTTTTTTTTGTGACTGAATGGCCACTGTTTGCCTTTAAAAGGCATTTACAGATTTACCGGGCTGGAGGTGGCCAATCCCTGATAGCGCTTAGCCTAAAACTCGTTATCAGATTTTCTCATTTAGAATTTATGGTTTTCATCTATTATATGCTTTTTTTACATATGCTGTAGGTAATAGGTCTCAAATTGCAAAATAAGCACTCATGTCATTAAATGATAGGAAAAGCTAATAAAACTTTTTAAATGAAACTACACACAAACTGTACGATTCTTTATTTCCCCAGTTTTCATTATCTATGTACACAATACTCTTATAAATTAATAACACATGGTTCGTCGATGTTAACTTAAAGCAATACATACAATAGTAAAGTATCACAATTGATAATACTGACTCAAAACTCATTCCCAATCAAATATACAGCTGTGTCAAGTTGTCTCTTCTTTGGAATCTTGTTCTGATTTTTCTTTTTTCAATGCTTCAGACTGCATCAGTAATTCTTCTAATAAAAGCACATTGTCTATCAATTCTTGACTACCCGTTGGCTGTGAAACAAACAAAAAATACATAATACATGAATACCAGTCCGATTAAGGACTACTGGCCTACTGGTATATATACCTACTACTATGTAAGGTATATATATAGTAGGCATAATAATATATTGAAATATTGACACAGTTGTGAATACAAAATAACAAAAAAAAAACATTTAAATACCTGTTGTGCGCTAACAGAGCGGGCCATCAATTTCTGTCGGTACTTCTCTTTCCTCTCCTGTTCGCGGACGCTGCGCAGTCGGTCGAAGTCGTCGATGTCGTCGTCTTCTCCATCCACACCGTCTACGTCATCCACTGGAATAAAGAAATCACAGCTTATATTAAGAGCGTTAAGTGCCACTCGCCCAGAAAGTTCGCTTTAATACGTTTTGAGGCCGATGTACCTGTTAAATATTATACAATGAAGAAAAACGAACAAAGAGATACAAAAAATATAAAGAGGAAGCATAGTCGACACTTCACTTGAGGCATTATTCATATGATCCTCACCAATATCCTCAAAACCATAGTCAATATTACTGTTTAGTTTATTTTATAACTAAAGATGGGGCTTACAATTTTGTAAAATGTTTTATAATATGTTAATACAAGAACATGAGGTGGCATACTAACCTTAAAACAGTACCTTTCAAAGAAGTTACCGGTAAAAAAGAGTTTGCTGTCTAGTCTATACATTTCTTAATGTTTTTGTATGTGAGACTTACTTAGGGTCTGACTGCCGGCGGCGCTGAGCGAGGGTCCGACGTCGCTGTCGAGGCGCGGGCGCTCCAGGCCGGGGAAGGAGTCCTGCGCGCGCAGGGACTTGGCGGCCGGGCTCGTGTCGCCCCTGCCTTCCAGCACCGCGCTCGCTGCGCGCGCCCATTGCGACGGCGCGGACGACGATAGACGAGACGCTGTTTAATGGGAAACATTAAAGTTTTTAACGTCTTCGGAAACGCACCTGATGCGTCTCATTTAATAAGGATGGGAAGCTTAAAGAAAAGTAACAGTTCGATAAGGCCACACAGGTCTCTTAAAAGATAAAACTGTGATAATACTCCCTCTAGAAAATGTCAAGTTTGAAATAAACGGTTACGTCGAATGGAAATTGCATAAATGTAAAATAATAAAATTATCTTTGTCACAGTAATGTATAGATATGAGGATGAAGGGTAAATGATATCGCTTAAAAGTCAGATTTCCGCCAAGACTTGAGATAAACAAATATTTTTGTATATAAAATGTTTACCATCAATCTCGATGGCTCCAATGTCCGTCGACATATTGGTCATATTGTCGTTCTTTAAATGTAAATAGTATTTAATTTCTTAAGACAATGCAGATTGTGATAAAAAGTATGATTGAGCGGCGATATAACATCAAATGTAATCTTATCACGCATTTGTTCTCGCTGATTAACAATGCAAACAGTTCCAATTTATTATTTTAATAGAATGTAGTGAGAAATTTACATTTTAATTGTAAATGTTACCTGAAATTGTCATGAAAAAACCTCATACAGATGTGAAAATTGTAGAGCACAGTTATTCAAATGATTTGAAACCTTCAAAACATTAACGTGGACTTTATTTAAAATACAACTTACTGGAGTTATGATTGGAGTTTCTCGTCGGAACATTAACTGGCTCGCTTGCAGTCGGCGGTCCTTGAGCGAACAAACTCATCGCTGTCGGTCTGAAATTAGTTCCATAATTTTTAATTTAAAGGAATGCAAACTGCAATTGGATTGCTGTTTTTTTTATAAATGGATAGGACGGGATCTTCATTTTTTTAATGTATTTGAGTCTTTTTCAAGTGAAGTTTAGGATGTGTTTTTGGTAACTGACCTGTGCTCCTGCCGCTTGCCCATGCTGGTAATGGTGGCCTGCTCGTCCACCTCCTCGATGACCTCGTTAGCTATCTTCATGCTGCCGGCCGCGGTCGCTGCTGGCTTGTTAAGCGTTGGATTACTCGCTGATATCACGAAACGAGTGCCTGCTGGAGTTAGTGACGTTCGTTAAACATTATTTCGTTTTTAACCTTAGAGATGATGTAAGGGTTACCATTACTTGCTTTAAAAGTGGGTAGTTTATGAAAATATACTTAAAATATAGAAGAGCATTGTATAACGCAAACGCTTCTTAATATACATTATGTAATCAAAATAACGTAGATTACAGTTGGAACGCAGTTACTGGAATCAAAGCTATGGAATATTTACAAAGCAGGGCAGTCATTAACCTGAACACCATAAATGTAATGAGTTCGACGAACTCACGCGACTGAATGAAAATAGCAAATTCCTACTTTATATGGCATTCATGGGCG